GATGGCCATATTTGATGACGGCATATTCCCAGGCCCGGTGTCTTCATCCTCCCTGGTCGCCATCTTTAATAACGTCATAATCTCAGATGCCACTGTCCTGAATGCACCTGTAACCCTTAGAATCTCACATTTTATAACATCCCCCACCATCTCCAGAAATCCGGGATCTCTCCCTGACAGACACCCCTGAACCCAGACCCCTCGCCGAGTGCCCTCTGTAAAACAAAAAAACAGAAAACAAAAAAGACAAAAAAACCTCCCAATCCCAAACAACTACAGGCAACTCACTGGCACCACAGCACAGCACTGCACGGCATGGCAAGGCACAGCCCGGCCCAGCACAGCACAGCAGAGCCTAGTGGACCCCTTCCCCTAAACTCCGGGAGCCCCTAACCATAGCCCGAACCCCACACCCCTGCCCAGAGCCCCCTGGGAGCCCCTGATCACTCCCACCCTCCTCCCGGCACCCAGGACCCTGGTATAGACTTCCCTGCTGAATATTTATAAGCATGCAAACGACGACCCCAAAGAATCCCCAGGGACCTGCTCCCCTGCACTGGAGGAAACCCTGTATGCTGATTTACATGATATGCAAACGAACATGCAAATGGCCCCCCCAAACATCCCTGGGGCAGGCCCCCTCACCTGCTGGGAACCGGAAATTCAAATCTCTCCGTGAATATTTAGATATGCAAATAAGGCCCCTCCAAATTAAAACACACCACACCCCTCAGGGCACACAAGCATGGAGGGCACACGAGCATGGACTGTGCCTGCCTACCCAGCCTTCCTGCTTTTGTGAGGCCCTATTCGGACTCTTATCCTCTTCCTGGCAGCCGCCATCTTTTATGACGTTGTGTTCCCGGGCCTACGCATGACGTCATATTTCTTGGACGCCATCTTTGATGATGTCATATTTACACGACACCACCATCTTGGTTTCACCTGTATCCAATAGAATTTCATCCCCTTTAAAAAAAAATTTTTTCAGAAGGAAACCAACCCGATATGATCCAGAAACCTAACCCTAAAAAGAGAAAAAAAAAAAAGACAAAAAAGTAAAAAGAGAGAAAAAATTTTCAAAATAACACTGGACACTCCCTGGGGCTCCCCTGTACCCCGACCTTCACCCTAACCTAAACCCTGACCCTCCTCAGGGTTCTGAGTGGAACCCTGTGAACCTGATCCTAATTAGGATTGGGAGCCCAACCCTGCCCCTGATCCTGACCCTAAGCCATGAATATTCATGCTCTTCTCATGAATATTCATGAAATATTCATACATGAAAGTGAGACGCCTATTGATTATGCAAAACCCTAACCCTATTCCTGACCCGAACCCGAATCCTAAACTCCAAACCCCTAACCGTGACCCCAGACTCTTGACTCCAAGGTGAGACATAGAAGAAACACATTGAGAAGTTTGTACATTCAGTGGCATAATGCATTTTATTCTTTAGTCGATGTTAGAAAGCAAAGGCTTGTATCTCTTGAAAAGTTTATCTGACATAAAGAATGATAAACAATAAACTGTATTCAACAACTGATCACTTTCTAACAAGGTGAAACGAAAATATAAAGTGTGGGGATTGATACTAGTCCTCATCCACTTATCTGTGGCTAAGAAGGTTTATTTTTCTCTCTCAAAACCTAAGTGGTACATGTGTTAAATCACCTTCCAAATTTCAAGACTCTTGGAGCCTCAGACAGGGACTAGCATTGGAGTCAAACCACTCCGCAGCTGTTTGTTGCATGAGTGCACAATAGCATGGCCAACAGGTCCTGGTGAGAAAAGTCTTGTGCAGCCTCCATTTGAATTCTGCTTCTGCCATGGACCAACCATGTGATTCTGCACAAGTATTTTAACCTTCTTGGGCCTCAGTTTCCCCATCTGTAACTTGGGGGCCTACATCAATCGGGTTCCTGGTGAAGAATAACATGACTGTGTTGTTTCAGTTGTCTTTTCCTCTGTCTTTCCACGCTCCCCTCCAACTCCTCCAAGTTTTTCTTTTTTTTTGACAGGGTCGCCCTCTGTTGCCCAGGCTGGAGCACAGTGGCATGATCTCAGCTCACTGTAATCTCCACGTCCCAGGCTCAAGTGATCCTCCTACCGCCGCCTCCAAAATAGCTGGGGCTACAGGTGTGTTCCACCATGCCAGGCTCATTGTCAGAGAGTACGTGTGTACAGACCACACCAGGTTGAGTATGTGTGTGTAAAGATGGGTTTTCTCCATGTTGACCAGGCTGGTCTCGAACTCCTGGCCTCAAGCAAACTTCCCGCCTCGACTTCCAAAAGTACTAGGACTTACAGACATGAGCCACTGCCCCCACCACCTCCAACTCTATTAAAACAAGAGTCTCACCAAGACAATGAAATTGCAAGGGGACGTTTCCGTTTACTTTGGATTATATGTCGTTATAAATATTAACAAATAAGACTTTAAAAGGACACCTTTGGGTGGGCCAGACCAAAGTACAAAACTTGTGTTGTGGGGCTGCAGTTTGAGGACAGTGTCTGCAGCCGTCACACGGTAGCAAAACAGGGTTAAGCAGCGCACGAGAGTCTGCGTCGGCGACAGCCAGAGTCCATGCATCGGGAGGTCCGCTCGGTCGGCGAAGGAACCACGGGCGGGGCATGCGCGGCCCGGGCTCGGCGGGCGGGGCGCAGTTCCCTCGCTCGCCGCTAGAGGTCAGGAGGTGACCGCTTCGGGGCTGGAAGACAGGCCCGGCGGAATTGCCTAGCGCCGGCGGCGGGCGGGGCGGGTTCCATGCGGCGCCTGGCTCCTGACACCTAACTTTGGAATGACTTTCGTTCTGGCATCAGATTTCCTGTCTTCGTGGGGCTGACGTACCCGAGGAAAGATGCCCGCTCGGAGTCAAAGGCAGAGCCGTCTCCGCAGCTTCTCCACGCGCTTTGGGAGAGAGAATCTGCGTGGGATCTAGAACGAAGCAGGGATCCTAGGGAAGGACGATTTCCAAACTTCCTGGCGGTGGGTTCCTGCCGGAGTGGCCGCGCTGCCCCTGGGCTGGGTGGCCAACGAGCCCCACCTCCCAGCCTGACTGTCCCCACCTTTCGGGTCCAGCCCCATTTGCACAGCCTGGGCAGGACAGGGCCTGGACTGGGGGCCTGGGTTCCGGGCTCTTGTCCCAGCTGCACCCCTACAGGTCCCTTCTGCCCACGCGCCGAATTAAGGAAACCATGCCAGGTGGGGCTTACAGCCTCTTCTACCTTTGCCATTCATCACTTCCGTGTCTTGAAACAGGCTGTCAAGTCTCCTCTCTGAATGAGACCCCCACAAAAAAGCAAAGCTAAGAAGATACCCAGAGCTTAGCTGGACACCGGGCCTTTTAGATATGGACCACCTCTTACCTTAGGCCCCCAAAGGGTCTCCATTCTGGCTGCATGGAGAAAAGAGGAGTCTTTATCTCAACCTGCAGAGGCTGGGGTAGGGTGGCTGAATTCTGGGACCGGGTTAGGCACCTCTGGGGGAGCCTGAAGTAGCATGGATGGTTTCAAAGCCAGCAGACAAGGTGACAGGACAGTGACAAGACCCCAGGTCCCTGTCATGCACCAGAGCTTACCGAGTCTCCACCTGGGGTCTCTGCCAAGTCTCCGACAGACTAGGAGGGAAGGGACTGGGGGTACTGATCCCCAGAGGGAGAAAGGGGCAGTCAGAGGACCTGGGTTGGAGTCCTGGCTCACCCCTTCCTGGCTGTTTGGCCTTGACAAACTGCTCAGACTCTGGGAAGCTGTTTTCACCTACAAGATGGGGGAAGAGTCAAACCCACCTCGCAGGGCTGTGGAGTTCTGCCACATGCATGCAAAACCCTCACATACAAAAGCCTTCCTAAAGATGGGGAAATGAGGCTCCATGAGCAACAGGTGGCCAGGGAATGTGTGGGGGCTGGAGTCCTGTTTCCTCTGCAACCTCGGACAGGGCTGATGGGCACTTGGTGTAATTCAAATCATGACCCTGGACCTCAGGCGGTGGTGTGCTTTGTGTCTGCAGTGGAAGGTTCCATCCTCATGCCTGTGAGTCCCGCTACCAGTGCTGAAGGGTGAGCAGCAGGCAGGTGAGCCCCGGGCTAGCAGCCAGCAGGCTCTCTAGGGTGACCTCGGCATGCCAGATCCCCTCAAGTGTGGTGTCCAGCACTCCGGGCTGGGGGCCCTGGATCCTGGTTCCAGCTGTGTGGGGGCTGGAGGGCCCTGGGCAGGTCACCTGCCCTCTCTGGGCCTCTGTCTCCATCACACACTGGGACTCCAGCTGGGCAACTCCTTGGCTCTGCATCTGTTCACCAGGCGTTCCTGAGGGCCCCTTGGTAGGCGGGCAAAGTTTGCTGGCTTCAGGCCTGAGCCCCAAGATTCAGATCCTCTCAAGCCCTTCTTGGAGAGCCTAACTCAGGGGAGCAGACAGGCCCACGAGGCAGGGTGACTCTTGCTCAGCTCCTGCAGGGGAGACCCGGCCCCACAGGCCTCCCCAGAGACAAGGCCCTGGACTGCCACCGGCTACTCCCAAAGGGACATCTGTGGCAGTGGTAGGGCCAAGATGCCATGAGCAACCACCTGGAGGCCCCCAGTACTCAGTGTGAGCCAGGTAGCAGAGAGAAGGGTAAAGGCAGAGTGAGGACGTGGAGAAATTCTTCCTTCTTCCAAGCACAAGGGACCCTCTTCTCCACTGCAGTTGACTTGCTGCTTATGCAGGGAAGGAGGAGGGGTGGGCTGTCCTCCAGGGCCATCAGGAGAACGAGATCAAACTGGGAGACTTGCATCTGAGGTCTGACGTTGACCGTGCACCAGGCGTTCTCCACGGTGCTTCCGTCACTTCCCCCGCCTCCTGCCTCCAGCCTCACGCCTTCCTAACAAACCCTGGCCCGGTGAGGAGGCCCTGGGTCCGCAGCTCCCTGACCCCATCAGCGTTCTCTCTCCTCCAGGCCTTTGTGACCACACCCACTGCTGGGACTGCTTTTCCCTGACCTCTCAGCAGTAAACAGAGCCCAACGTACTTGCAGACTGGCCAGGCTGCTCTTGGTATTTCTTGCCACAGTTGGGATGGTTTGTTCCCAGTTCCCTGACTAGATGGGAACTCCCTGAGGGCAGGCCCTATGTCTCATTTACCCTCAGTGCCTGTGGAATCACTGAGTGAAGCCTGTACCAGCCTGCCCATCATCAGGAGCCTCGGGGAACTCTGGCAGACTTCCGGCTGGCAGGCCCGCTTCTTCCACCTGCCCGGCAGGTGACAGAGATGAGGGATGCCGTCAGTTAGTCTTGGGCTACATCTCGGAGCAGCCGGTCTTCAAGGTCTCATCCTCTCCCTGCCTGCCTCCTCACCACTTCCCTCCTGCGTTCCCACTGCCCCCCGGCGTGACCCGCACTCCTGTCCTCTTAGCCTGAGCTGGCCTCTAGAAGGGCCCTTGCCCCAGGTGGCCCTGTCCTCTTTCCCTGGACACATGCTGAGGTCTCCTTCCACCACTGGCCTGGGCACCAGAGGGCTGAGAGCCCCACCCCAGCCCCCTGCCCTCCCCATCCCAGAGTGGCTGAGCCCTCCAAGTCCTCCACACGGGGACTGCGGCGGCTCTGCATCCAATCAGGAGTCCTAGATCTCCCCCGACGTGGGAGCCACAGGCTGTGGTGGCTGCTGGGGAAGCCTAGGGCCAGCTGTGCTGGGCGCAGGTGGCAGGGGGGTGGCAGTGGTGGGCAGGCATCAGTCGCTGAGCACGGCCCCCGGGAGCTCGCTGGTGAGCGTGTGCCAGTGCTCTATGCGCTTGTCCTTGTTCTTCAGGCAGTCGAACCAGTGCTTCAGGCGCTCCCCCTTGGCATTAATGCCCAGAACCACGCCGCCTGCAGGATGATGGGAGGGGCAGCTGGGGCACGGGGACCCCCTGACTCCTAGGCCTGGGACCCACGCTCCCTCCCAGGTTCTGTGCTCCAAGGCCGGCTTCTCTCCCTGCCCGCTGGGTTCTGAGCTGGGACAGGAGCTGACCTCCATGCCACGCTCTAGCCCCGTCATCCTGCCCCTCTTCCACCAGGGCAGGGCTAGGGGCAGGGTGCAAAGGCAGTGTCAGGGCCAAGGAATGGGGGCTGGAAGAGGGGAGAAAGGGCGGGGCAGCCCCACTATGTGCAGCCCCACTATGTGCAGCCACGAGGCCCACCAGGAATTTGGGAATCCCTAGGGCTCAGAGTCCAGCCGGAGGTGCTGCCCATCATCGTCTCTTGCCCCTGCTCCATCACAGACTGCTGTGTGACCCTCCCACAATGCCCTCCCTCTCTTGGCCTGTCTCTTCCTGGGGCAGAGGGGTCAGGCCGGAGAAGGTCTGAGGGCAGGTGGTCTGTGGTTCCAGCTTTCCCCAGGGGCCAGGAAGGAGGGGCTGTGGCCTGAGCCAGGACAGGCAGCGAGTTCCCCCTTACCAATGAAATCGTTGGATCGCCCAATGTCGTAATCCCACACGGTGACCTCCAGGGACTTCTTGGCCAGGTCCCCATGCTTAATCTCATAGCAGAACTCCTGCTGGCCAGAATGGAGTTAGCGCTGATGCCACGAGGCCTAGGCCTCGGCCAGTGGCCAGGAGGAGGTGAGGGGTGGGGAACGAGGAGGGCGAGGGTGGTCAGCACTCAGGAGGGGTGAGGGGTGGGGAAGGAGGAGGGCGGGGGTGGTCAGCACTCAGGAGGGGTGAGGGGTGGGGA